ATCCTAAAGTATCTTTCTTATCTTCTACATATATTCTATAGGCTTCTACCAATTTTATTCCCCAAGGATTAGGAATTTTTCTAAAGAACAATTCTAGTAGGCCTTTAGTCATTCTATGATTTAAAGCCTGATAGTAGTATTTCTAGAATAGGCAAATGTATTGATCTAATTCACAAAAATTACATAGTTCTAAATTTTGCAAATTCCATATTGCTATTCTTCCAATTCTAGCCTCTTCTTTTTCTTGATTTTCTTCCCAATTTTTACTTAAAAATTCTCTCCTTATGGTTGATTCAAATTTATTTATTATGTTTTGAATTGCTTCATTTTCATTAACTTCTTCAGAAGTAGGGTTTCCACTTATGATAGTGTTTCTTTCATCTTTTTTTAGACCGACATACTAGTTGTGAACTATTCCTTTAAATGTGACTTCAATAAATCTGACTGCTTGTAAGGCATTCTAGTTTTTGCTCGCTATGGCTAGTCAAGTAGCTTGAGCCCATTCACGATGACCTTTTTTGGGTCGGTAACGCAATCCAGATCTAGCCAGATACCATTAGTACTATTATTTCTTCTTTGACTCTAACTGGAGTCTCAATTTTAGATTGATTTCCAAATCTTCTACTCTTTTTATCATAGATTACTTCATGTGTTAAATTCCTATTCCTTTTATAACTTTGGCTTGTGCTAGATTCTTTACCAGGTTGCACTAAAAACTCTGTTGGGGTTATATTAGAATGTGTTTCATCCTTTTCTTCTTCATTTTTTTTTTTTGAGTATTCATTTTAATGTTTTCTAATTGTTTAGTAGTTAGAGTAATCTGTTTGCACAAATTGTCTAATTCTTGTACGTTTTCTTCTTCTAAAAACTTTTGTTCAAGTTCTTTTAATTTTTCCTCTTGGGTCTTTAGCATAAAAAATGTTATTCCTTTTGATTTAGGCTTTTTAGTGAAAATCTTAGGAATTATTTTAAATCCTTCGTTTCTATCCATAATATTAAGTCTATTACAAACTGATATTATAGTATCTTACAGATCCTTGAGCTGTGCATGGATCTTATAAAATTTTTTATCTATATCACTTTTTAGTTGTGGGATTATTCTATTATACATCTCTAAGCTTTTATTGCAAAATTTTCAACAATTGCTTTCAATATCTTAAGAATTTCTTCTACTTTAAGTTTTATATCTTTAACTCGAGATATCAAAGTTTTCGAGTCTTTGATAGACTGTATTTCTTTTTTTATTTCAAAATTTTCAACAATTGCTTTCAATATCTTAAGAATTTCTTCTACTTTAAGTTTTATATCTTTAACTCGAGATATCAAAGTTTTCAAGTCTTTGATAGACTGTATTTCTTTTTTTATTTCTTTTAGATCTCTAGAATTTTTTAGTTCTTTTTTTTTTTCTTTAATAGAATCAAATTCAAGAGAAAGGGATTTTCCCATTTCTCTAATTTTTCTTAGAATATTTTCATTGATAGTTTCTATCTCAAGAATTTTATCAGTGATAATTATATCTTTTGTATGGATTATGTTTCTACCTAATGTATCAAGTAGATACATGTTAATCCAATCTATTTGTTCCTTATTCATGTTGATTTTAGTATTCCAATAATTTCTCTTAATTTTTTAATTCTCTATTCTCTAAATCTAATTTGTCTATTATATAATTGTATTATTGAGTTTATTCTTTCTTTTTCTTGGATTCTTTGCCTCAACTCAATTAAAAGGTTTTCTTTGATTTCAGCTAAAATTTCTTCTTCGGAATGAACCACTTGCTCAATTTGGTTGAAAATGTTTATTATAGTTCTTGTATATGAGGTTATATCTACCATTATAATTTATTGGGACTTTACTTATCACTTTTGTATTCTTTGAGGACTAACTATTTAGTTTTTCTTCGAACTGAGACTTCCGTTAACTCAAGGTAAGTTCAGGGTTATAAATCCTTACACTTCTAAGTGCAGGATTCTAAGTTCAGGGTTATAAATCCTGCACTTATAAATTCAAGGGTAAACTCCTTCAAAGTTAGTGAGTTAAGGGGCACTTCAGGACTTATGCCAATAGAATTTTAACCTTTAATGCAAGTATAAAAATATCTTTACAAACATTACTCATGTCAATAAATTTACTGACATGAAAACGACTAAAAAACAACTTTTCAATCTAGTTAATACTTCTCTAATGATGAAATTTCAGACAAGGTCATAAAAAATTTTGAGAAATTCAAGTCACATCGTTACATGGATTACCAAGAGCACTTATACCAACACCTATTTATTAACGTGTTTCAAGTTAAAAATTTGATATTATGATGTAATCCGTCTACCTACCAACGTTCCTCGCCATCGATAAATTTATACATTCTAATAGTGATAGTTGTTGTTAACAAAAAAAAAAAAAAAAAAAAAAAAAAAAAAGGCAACACATAGTTGCGACTATTATGCCTGACTTGGACAACATTTTTCTTTTCAATCTTCTCCACAAACTCCCAAGCCATATATCGAGGAAAAATCAACCATATAGCTCGACTTTAATTAGACACATGGAAATTGCTTTGATTCCTTCAAAACTTAGTTTGCGGCAGTTCTTGATTTTCTCTTTAGATACCCTCATGATTTTGCCTCTAAATCATTAGTTAAACAATTTAATCACAACCATAAATGAAACATATGCCACCATTATATTTGTTGCAAAAATGGAAATAAAGATTACTATATTTAATTTATATTTCATAAATTTTAATTTTTATAATGAATTTTAATTTTTAAATATAATAATAATTATTAAATGTATAAAAAAATGAAATCTCAAAACAATATATAACCTAAATTATTTGATACTAGAGTCAACCTATTTATTATTGATGTAGATAGCATTTTTTTTTTATTAACTTTTTAGTATCTGGAAGTCAAATTGAGATTTGACTAATTTAAAATCGAATTATGTTAGACCTCATAAGAGAAAAATTCTCTCAATACTTATTTTTTCATTTACAAAATTTGAATTTAAAATTTTATTTTAAAAAAATCAAATTTTTACTATTCGGATTAACAGTTCCTTGGTTTCTTTGGTTTCCTTTGTTTGATGTAGATAGCATTTGTGACATGCTTTTCAACGTTAGCATCAGTGTCCACTTTGTTGAGAGCATTTGTTTTGGTGTTTGCATCAATTTTCCTTTTATCAGCCTAAATATTTTTTTAAGGCTTTTATAGTTTCATTCTTGTAATCTTATTTTACTACAAGTCTCATTTTTTTCATCAATTTTCCTTTTATCAACGTAAATATCTTTTAAGGCTGTTATAGTTGCATTCTTGTAATCTTATTTTACTACAAGTCTCATTTTTTTCATCAATTTCCCTTTTATCAACGTAAATATATTTTAAGGCTGTTATAGTTGCATTCCCGTAATGTTGTTGTACTTGCAATCGCAAGTCTAATTTTAAGTACAGAAAATGACTAATGGATCAACGTTGCTGGTTGTAATGAAATCAGCCATGGCCATAATTAAAGCACATCCGCAATTGCAAGGCTGCAAGAAAATACAATCCATACCTAAACAAAAGGGGAGCTTCCGACTCGATATAATTGTGTAGAGAGCAGGAAGGAGTTGTGGCCATTAAAAGGCGCTGTACAATCTGCTTTTACAGCGACCCTTGGCGTTATTCATGAAGTAAAATATTAATAGAACAAGCATTCAACTGTCATGCTCACTCACCTATAAATAATGGAGCAGCGATTGCGCAAAAGCATAACTCTCATCCATTTAACTGACTGATATGAAGATGACGCTTCACCTGGAGGATAGGCCATGCCTTGCTTCTGGAGAAACATATTTTTCAATTTTTTCCTCCATTAATTTTCTAATAATCTATATATAAATTCTTTTTTGAAAAATTAATCCACAAATCAAGCATTTGAATCATCCTGTTTGGCAATTAAAGTGCTAATTTGCACTTTTTGCTGAATGTCCTGCTTGAATTTAAGTTGCCATATAACTAGCGTTATCAATTATGAGTAGCCTTATTTATATATATATATATATATATATAATGAAAAAGGCGAATTTCATTACTTTTAACAAACAAATGAACAATTACATCAATCAGAGAAAAAGGAGATAAACCGAGAGGCATTACCCAAGATCCAACATCTGTTAGCAGGAAACATCCCAAAAATGGCACCAATTGTTTTTTATCCGACTCCAAATCGAGACAATAAAGAACATAAGGACTTCGCAAAAGAATTGCCCAAGTATCCAATAACTGCACGATAATTGACCAAGTAACTAGGACCAAAACTAAACAAGACTAAATTTGAAGACTCAAATAACTTGAGGATATGAAAACTTAATATATAGTATATTTAGATTAAAATGAATGAAGACAAAAAAAAAATTTTTAATTAATTAGATTATAATATTCCTCCTCCTATTCTCCTCAACTAAACTATACTATGAAATAACTAGGGACCTACAGCTCCTTCGAGTTACCGACCTTAGCCCCAGCTTACATCCGACAATGGTCCACCGTGTAACGTGTTGCCACCTCAAGGACTGAAAGGAACGTTACAAGAAGGACGAAACCCCAAAGAAAAGTCAGAGAAACAGTATCGAAACCGTTATAGCGACGGCAAAAGTCGACCGATCCGGCGCTGGATACCTCCAAACCTCGACTAGCGAGCAATCCGCCATCCAACAAGCCGTCGATGGATAAAATCCCGCACTTTAATAGCTGAATGCAACTTGTTAGTATTTAATAAACTTTTATGCAAAAATAAAATAAAAATACCTGATGATCAATTTAATTTTAAAGATTTTATATACATCATTAATTTCCATGTATATTAATGATCAACATATTAATACAAATTAATTTGATTTATCCCTTTTTTTAAAAGGAAGAAAGGAAAAAGGAAATTGGCCATTGATCATTTGACTTATCTTGAATTAATGCTCTCAAAATGAAAAACAGAATATGCATAAGTAAAACAAACACACAGGAATGAAATTTATCTTATTGCATGAGCCCCTACTTTTCTTACATCCGAAACAGTGATATACATAAACAAAGCACATTTAGTCACTCAATCGAATCGCCCTGCCCCTACTACTTAATATATTGTTCAATGTTTTATACAACTAGCTTTACAAGAAAGCCTATATTAATTGTAAAAGGGGAAAAAAAAAAAACTGATAGTGAAGAGGATCACAGACGGTTACATGAAGAGATATGGCTTGCCGCAGACTGATAATAAAATAGATAAATAATTTAAGTAAATCCATCGGACCGTAATGCTCGATTCCCCTTACACAAGGATGGATGATCTCCATTTCATGATTTTCTCTGCCAAAAGAACTCTGGCTTTCACCTAAGAATGGCTGCTGTCGAAGCCACTGATCTCATAAAAATGTGAGTGAAGCTTATGCTGCTCCATCTCATTGTAAGAAAGACAATGACTATATAAATCTACTGGGGCCTCAAGGTTGACACTAATGAAGAACATGGTGACTCGTTCAAAACAAAGAAAGAAGACTTCGAAAAACATATGGATATTATACTAATATGAATATGTATATTTGCAGCTTCAGTTTAAATATATATAGCAAGTTTTGTGGGATCAGGGAGAGAGAACTACTGTGAAAATTGATAGGTGTTTCTATTTTAAAGTAACTTTTATTTTTTATTTTTTACTTTAAGTTTGTTGTAAATTAATTGTTGCTTTTTTATATTTTAAATTAAAAGATATTTGTTTTGGACTTTAACCTCTTATTATCCATTAAATATATAAATTATCTCCAAATTTTTAATTTAAAGAAAAAATTTTAAAAAAAAACTAATAGTTATTTTAAGATAAAGAGAATACACAAGAAAAAATACAAAGGCAGCATCATAAAATCAATCGATAATAAATAAAATAATAGAAATATTATAGTTACAGCTACCAATACTTCTACCTTTTCTTTCTTAATAATCCTCTACTGCTTGTCCACAAGGGATGTTTCAATATTTAAGAATTTTACTTTTCATATTAAAAATCTTAAATTTAAATTTTAAAATAAATAAGAAGACGTTTGAAATAAAAAAGTTATAACATATTATAATACTCATTATTAAACATACCAAAAAAAAAATCCTCTACCACTTCTGTTTTTTATTTCCATAATAATCCCCAACCACTTTTATCCCCTTTGTTCCAAAATAATTATTATTTTTATTCTTAAATTTATTTTTAATTATTTTTTTAAATAGACAAATACTTTTTATATCTATTTTAACTCTAGCATTATCTCTTTACTTTATTATTTATTCTATTACAAAAAATCTCTCTTTATGTTTTATATATTTTTTACCATAATACTATAGTTATAATGTCAAGTGGGATTATAAGTTTATGATCATGATGTAATATTAAAACAATATAATTTAATATTAAAAGAGCTAATGCATATGATATTACAGATAAATTTTTAAATGAAAAGAGTTAAATTATATGACAATATACATCATGTTGTAAACTTATAATAACATATAATATTGTAATTATAACATTTTCATATTTTTTAAGTATAATACATAAAGAAACACATAAATTGTTCTCAAATTTTTAATTTAGAGATAAATAAATACTATTTTTTTTTTCCGCTAAAGAGAGAGTACTAATTAAACGTGCTTTTTCTCTTTACATTTGAGTATACATATATGGTATTGCTGCTTCTATACTCGAATAACTATTGTTTTATTGATTTTTTTCTTTAAATTAAGGGTTTAGAGATAATTTATATATTTATTGATATTATCTTTATAAAATAAATAGAAGATAAAACTAGACTTTTTGTAATATAATAAATAATTAGACATATAATGGTAGGATTAAAATGAAAAAAAAATATTTATTTATCTTAAAAAATAAAAAATGACAATTAATTTGGAACAAACTTAAAGTAATAAAAGAATAATTATTTTCAATGGATGAGTAATTAAACGAAACATATCTTTGAGGTGTTTGAATTTTGTTGCCACTTTGCTTTCAACCTTGACATGCATGCTTAATTAAATGAAAAATGATTCAGGATTTTTTTTATACTACTTTTTATTAAAATTTTACGTATTATTTAAATGATTAATTTTTTTTATTTATTTGAAACATATAATATTAAATATATTTATTCATTTAATAACATATAAAAATTATATAAAAAATTATTAAAAAAATTACACAAAAAAATTATCCATATATCAATATCCTAATTAAATAGATAAACATGATCTCAAAGAGATAAATGTTGAGAAATAGGACCAAATTAAACTAAGCCTTGCATCTGCATTGCTAAACAAACTGGGAAAATCAGAGTTGTTGAGATCTAGAAAAATAATCAGGCGAAAAGCAAACAAGGATAGAGTTGTTGATTCAAATAATTGATTGGAGCAAGAACGAATAATAGTACTACTATAATTATAATATTACATAAAATTATAAATTTATAATTATGATATGTTATTTGATAATTATAATATATTATTAAATAAGTAAATATATAAAATATTCATAATAATTTTTTAAATAAAAAATTAATTATCTAATAATAAATTATGTTATTGATTTATAATATTATATAATGTTATAACCATATCATTTAAAAAGAAAAGATAAAACTATTTACAACCAAAAACAAAAATGAAAAAGAAAATTCGAATCATTTACAAGAAAAATGGAAAAATTCGAACCAGAGAGACAGCTTGCGTAAGCTGTAATTAAAGTGATCCACATCTCCAACTAACCTACTGCTAACGGACACATGTGACCTCGCATTATTGGTTTTTTTCACGTATATATTAAGTATTGAATTCTAACATTTTTATTAAAAGCACAACTAATTTTATCACATTACTATTAAGAGTATATACTTTGTGTTTGATATTTTACCAAGTTGACTATAAAAAATAAATAATAATTGATAATTATTATTTATTAAATTAAAATTAATTTATAAATAAATATTTTTGAACATAATAACTAATTTTTTTTAAAAATTATAACAAACAAAATATATTAATTAATAATATATTTGAATTCAAAAGAATAAAGGAGAAAAAGAAAGAAAGAAAATTTGATAAATCAAATTATAATATTTTAAAATATTATAATTTAATTAATTAAAAAATCCTACTTCTTTCCTATTTCTCCCAATCCAAACTTATTTTAAATTATGTAAACCTGCCAATAATATGTCTGGCAATATCCACTACTGAACAAGAGAGCTTTGCACGCCCGTGAAAGAGAAAAGTTAAGTTGGTCGGTCCCCAATTGCTTTTTTGTTATAGAGTTGAAAGTTAGAAAGTAGAACTCAAACTTCGCGTGGAAGGCAATCAAGGCGTGGGAACCGCCTCTCTGTTTTGTCTTTGCACATTTGGCGAATGAGATGCTAATTGTTCGGTTAAGAAAATACGCTTTTGAAAAAGCAACGCGTACCATTCTTTCTGCATGAGGGGCCCTTTAACAAAGAATAATGCTACCGCGGCCGAAGCTCGTCATGCCGACAGAAGGCCGAGCGAAAGTGGCAATGCCACGTCCGTTTGATTCCTGGTTTTGAGAAAGGGCGTAACTAATTCAAAAGCCCTCAATTTTATAGAACTATAACTTTTAAGTCCTTACATTTAAAAGACATCATTTAAGTACCTTAAATCAAATAAGATTAATTTCATTTAGGGTATTATGGTTTAGTAATTGTAATGTTAGGGATTAGATTATATTCTAGGGTTCAAGGTTTAAGGTTTTAAAATTTAAATCTTTTAGGATTCAATTTTTTTAAAATTTAATGTTTAGAATGTTAGTTAAGGTTTAGATTTTAAAGTTTAATATTTAAGGGGTTAGAGTTTAGATTTTTCTTATATCAAATGTTTAGAGTGTTAGGGTTTAAAATTTTTTGAATTCTATATTTTATGATATTAAGATTTAGACTTTTTGGTATATATTTTATAATGTTAAATTTAAATTTTTTTCAAATTTAGTGTTTAATGTGTTAAGGTTTATATTTTCTAGATTCAAGACTTAATATTTAAATGTTTAGATGTTTAATAATTTAAAAATTAAAATTATAAGACCAAAAATTAAAATTTAAAATTTTAGATTTAAGAATTAAAAAATAAAAAAACTATAGGGACCAATCAGCTTTGGGACCGATGGTCCTATAGCATTACCCTTTAAGAAAACTTAAAAATGTAATTTGTGTAAAATTAAATTTTTTTTTATAAATTTAAAATTTTATTCGGAAAAAATTTAAAATTAAATATTAATTTTGATCCTTTAACTTTAGAATTTTACATAATTTTTGTCTTTTAATTTTTTTATGTACTCTTTTTATCTCTTAATTTTAAAAAATATGTTTTTTAACTCTTTCGATTTGTTAATCTATTAAATTTATCTATATATATTTTCAGTCCCAAGTTATTAAATTAAGAGATAAAAATTGTGTAAAACCCTAAAGTTGAGAGATTAAAATTATGTATATATAAATAAATTTAATAGATTAATTGACTGAAAAACTAAAAATATATTTTCCATAGTTGAAGGACTAAAAAGTGCATAAAAAATCAAAAGGTGAAAATTATGCAAAATCCAAAAGTTGAAGAATCAAAATTTACATTTAACCAAATTTAAATTAGTTTTAATTAAGTTTTGATAAATTTACAAGTTTAACTTTCTCAAAACATATTAAAAAACTACTTTAAAGGTTAATTTTTAAATTATTCTCTAACAAAAATTTTAGTTTATAAGAGAAAATTTTGCTTTTAAAATAAGTGCATTTTAAACTTTTCCATGCACTTCCTATAATGTTGTCTCGCCAATCACCACTCTATTAGACTATTATGCACTTTTTATCTCAAAATAACTATTATTTTTTTAAATTTTTTTAAAAAATTAATTATTTTTTTTTTTTTTAGGTTGGTTAAAGTTTTTTTTCCTATTTTAACCATATTGTTATTCTTTTATTTTAATTATTATCCTAACACAAAAGATCTCTCTTTATTTTTTTTTTATTTCTTTTTTAGGGTAATATAAGCAAATACTTAAATAATCCCCAAATTTTCAATTTACTTCTTCTATCCCAAAATAACCATTGTTTGTTTACTTTTTTTCCTAAATTAAGGATTTAGAGACAATATTTGTATTTATCTATAATTTCTTTAAAAAAGATAAAAAAATGATTTTTTTGTGATTGAATAATTTATTAAAGTGAATAGATAATAATATGTTTAAAAGAAAAATGATTTAGAGACAACATTTTTATATAACTTTTTTGTACAATCATTTTATATCACTTTTTTATACAATCTTACACTTATTTAAATGATTAGCTCATTTTATTCATTTGAAACATATAATATTGAGTGCATTTATTTATTTAATGACATGTAAAACTTGTATAAAAATGTAATACTATACAAAAAAGTTATCCCTATATTATCACCCAAGTTTTAAATTGAAAAAAATATATTTATTTACCTTAAAAAAGAAAATATTGATAATTAATTTAGGACAAATTCAAAATTAAAAAATGATAGTTA